CAAATATCAATTTTTCAAAGCATTATGACCATGATTATATATGACCATCATCTGCATCCTCTTATATAGCACTGATTGTAAAATCTAATTGCAGTTGGAAAAAAAAGATTTTCTACTAGTTGAGACTAGTTTAAGATGTTAAAGCTACATTACAGAAGTGAAACTGGATTTGAAAAAAAAGGGGGTGGGGAGTCTGAGGACTTTTTTTTTTTTTTTTACAGTTTTGACAAAAGTGGAAAGTCCGGAGAACTTAACAAGCCAGTTAATACCAATTCCACCAAGTACAATGGCTAATTATAGTTCCTTTAAAACTTTCCATGACATAAACAGTCTAAAATCAGGAATAAACAGGCTCATGTGAAGCCAGTGACAGCAGATTTCTTTCCACTTTGAGCGGATCAGAAACGAAACTGTAGTTGCACAATCAAACTGGCAGCTTCGGATGTGAAGAATTATTCCTCCCACTCATGAAATTACCATTGGAAAAAAAAAAAACTCTGCAGACTCTAGTCCGAAATTCGTAGACAAGATCATCTGACATGACACATGCACTGACAAAAACTATGAGGGTGAGCAGTCTTATGATCCAGTTTCCACCAGCTCAGCCTCTATACCTGACTGTACAAAAGACAAGTTGACAAAACCCAGATGTGAAATAGGAAGTGCACAAATAACAAATGACTAACACAAGTGTATTACTGTAGTGAATAATGATGACAACTAGAAAGTATGTGTGCACGAGTATGCTAAACTGTAGGGTTGAAGTCACTAGGCTATAATATTCACTGATCTAGCCTATGACTTTGTTGTGCATGATGTGGCAATAAGGGACAGCCTATACACTGGTCAAAATCAGGCTGATTTCACAAATGTTTTAAACCGGGTTAAATGATCTGGAGCTTGTATAGTACTCAACTCGCGCACAATACAAGTCGTGACCACACTTTCTCCCTAGAGAGAATATGTATTTATTCTTTTAAATGTATGAAAGCAAAAATCATACTGTGTACTCCCAAATTAAACTCTTTTTAAACAAAGAAAACAAAAGGCACCAAGTATACCAATACCAATGAAAAATAAGGGGTGGGCATTTTGGCCGATATCTAGCAGATTTAACGTTCTATGCAAGTGTGATTGAAGCCTGTTTTCCGGACGCATCATAAGTGCTGGTAAAATGGAAGTACTTTATGGCGTCTAGGGCAAAACACGTTCATTACTTAAATGATACCCAGTTTTACAGCCAGTTCTTAGGCCATATGTTTATTGCATGGTGCAAACCCATAATCTGTACAGTCTGCAACTTCTCACAAATTAAGATATTTTTCTGATTTGATTGACAACTGATATGAACTGCAGAGCAGAAGTGAAAGCCTGGTGGTTTAACAAACCGTGGTGTTCTTAAAAGGGATGCGCAAGAGTACTTGAACATGACAGCGACAACTGATCATCAAAACGATGATTTCTGTGACTTATTGGCTATATCGGCATTTTGGCAAGTACCCAAAGTCTGATTGGTGTGATTCGACTCATTGAGGGATTATGTAAATAGTAATGACAGGACACTACTCTAAACAACATTTTTCAAATCATCTCATAAATCCATACATGCATGCATCATTTTAAATGGAGACTGAGTACATGGATACGTTTTTAAATTTCACTGGAGTGAACTGCAAAAAGCCAAGTAAAAATTAGACCTGGATTAATGCGGAAGTGATCCTAGTGATATGCCAAGAGCAAACACAATCACATACTCAAAATGCCATAGCACTATACTTTTATAAATAGTCATACTCCGGGTCTGTTTGACCAATAGTCTCCAGCTTCCTCTTGTGCAATTACTGAGAAAACTTCATGTCAATAAGAAGTAGAACATTCTTTGGTTGTGACATGTGTGGTTTTAAATAAATCATTTCACAAACTAGAAGCTCTGACTTGACCACACATAAGAAAGACTTTCAGACCTCTCTGCAAAAAGATGATAAGATAAACTGTGACTGCAAGCAGAAATCCAAGAGGAACACAGAAGAGGATGTGGCAACTACTGATGTAGCAGAGATCTGATACCTGGGAGTGAGAACACACAAGCAACACTTGCTTAGATGCAAATGATAACGCATTTAACTGGTCAGATCTCGGTTTAAAGACAGTCTGAGTGCATCAGCATCAAGGTAACGCTGATAAACAAGTTTCATGTACTGTCAACATTGAGACACTGTAGTCTGTCAAAGCTCAAAACAAAAGAGATAAAGGTGATGAAATCATTTAAATCGATCATGCACGAGACGAACGTTATGAGAAGTGATGAGTCATAATGCGGATATGATTCGCATCAAGTACAAAAAAGGAAATTAAAATGTAATAGTACATTCGTGACTATTATTATAACCCAACCTATTTACATTTGTATGGCTTCAGACAAAACAATCGGCAGATAAAAATTCAATCTCACCAGTTAAGAGATTAGACAGGTTAAAAAGATCTGACTGCGCAAAAAAGCAGATATCAGATAAGTAAACTCAAATAAATAATGCCGTATAATATGTTTTTGAACGCCATAAGAGACTTAAGTTAAGTAATTAGGCTCTAGTCTGTTGTTTAAAAACAGCTTAATCGTTAGCGTTAGCACAGCACGTCAATAAACAAAACGGGAACACAATTTCAATATCGCCATTATTAGATAAGATTATTCTTTATTCTGGCTTTCTTGAACAGAAGAATAACTTAAGACTTGTATTCGACGATAAACACTTCCAATTCGCTTGACTTTCGGTAACCTAAGTTATATGACATGTTTACCAAACACTTCCTCCGCCATTAACTGCAGCTATGACACACTTCTTACAAGGAACTAATACACACAATAATGTGGAGCTCAGTAAAACCAAAATATATATTACCCGTGGAGATAAAGAGAAGCGTGAGAAGCATCGTGTCTTCGGAAACGCTTCTGTCGAACAGCAGCGTCGTGTTTTGTACGTTATATGGTTTGGGTTCTGTTGCTGGTGTTTGTGCTGCAGTGAAGCGCTAGGTCGTGTGATGATGATGAGGCTTTATGCTGTTCTCACTGTCAGCTGACCGCGTGACTGGGGCGTGGCTTTATGAGGGAAAATGAAAATAACCAGAGAGACCTTTATCATTTCGTGGACAAACTCATGGAACATATTGAGCCATATGCTTTTTGTGGTTCATCTAATTTGCTCCTTAAAATGTATGAAAAAAATCATCAAACGTATTCCAATACCAACGATTAAATGAGTAAAGGAACATTTGAAATATTCAGTGATAGCCTGCAATATAACGTTACAAAATTTTTTGAGGAATTGTTTACTTACGTTTCCCAGGACCTGTAAAGAGTCCTATATTTCTGTGATTATATAAAAAAAACTGTGTCAAATTAGAACCGATTTTGTTTCATTTCCTGTTAACCCTAAGTGTAGAGGCACAGAATCATACAAACCCTGCAAAATAAGTATTTTAAGAATAAGGGATTTAAATTGATGTCAAATATGCCAATTAATGTTTTTTTTTTTTCCAGTGGTGCACGGATTCTGGAATGATGCATTCAGTTGGAATTAATTAAGGATTAAAATGTATCTTAAATAATTTGTTACTTTTGTTTCAATTTTACATACACAAAGTAGAATTTTCAAAAATCCTCTATGATTATTATTTTTTAAAGAGGAATATATTTGATATTGGAATATATTCTAATATATTTGGAGACATTGAGAGGGATAAAAAGTCCCAAAGCCTATTTGTATTCTTTATTGGAGGATTTTTGTCTTATATAAAATAAAATAAAAAAACTCCTACGCTACAACTTCTATACTTTTCTAATTTTTAAATTTGTTATTTTTCTTTCCCTTTGTTAGCTGTCCTATTTTTTTGTATGTTGTGTAGAATGTGATGTGAAAATACAACGTGATCTCGGTCGTTCTTTGTAAATCATTCAATTATTGCTGCTTTTCTGATAATATTCAACAAATAAATGCATTTTTAAAAATCACTTTAATTGTCTTTTTGCAGTAGCCTATTTGTGACTTTTACAAACTATTAGTGTAATTTATGTCATATGTTGTTCACAATATTACAATCAGGTTAAAAAAAAATAGGTTTGATATTTTTGTACAGAACCATTTTGTTATTTCATGAATTTTGTTTAATTTCTGATAAAAAAAAAAGCCAAGGATATTAGTGGCATATTCCATATGAAGCGGGTTAGGGTTAACCATAACATGACCAGCTATTGGTGATATCGCCACCAAAGGCCATTGTGTAAAAGACCAACTTTTAACGTTATGTTCATTTCCATTTCCATTTGCTAGTGCCATTTCTACAATTACAAAATCACCATTATATTGCCATGTTTTTTTGGACATATACTATACAGTATATGTGCCACATAAACCATTATATACAACAATTTACGTAGTATATAAAGTATAGTACCATGGTGTTATTAAGTTTTCATCAAAGTGCCCTTGGAACAATCACTTTTGTGTGGCTTTTCCCTTCATTTAATAAGATTTTTTTTTATCAAAAATTGTTTGACTAGGAACAGCTTGTCAGAAAATAATGCTATATCAAATATAACCCATTTATTACTTATGATGCATGTGTAGGATTCAACACCTCTTAAATTTTAAGCTAATAATACAAGTACCTTACAAGATGTTAAGACAATTTTATCAATTGATGTTGATGGCATTATTTAAGGGAGACATGTCTACATGAGATAAAGATTGAATTTAACCACTCAACCAAAAACGAGATTAAAGTAGTTTAAGATATTAACCATATGATAAGAGACTGAGAAAAGACTGTATTGTTAATTTCACTCCAGCACCTTGTTTGATTTGCTTTTAGATCTATTAAAAACTTTTGTATGCAGCAACTGTTGTTTTCTCTTTTCTCTGCTGACCTTTTTTTTACATTCTCTACAAAGAAAAGTAGAATGGATTTTTTTCAGTCTTGCGCAACAAACTCACATGACTGTGTCCTGAGGATAAATCATTTATTACATAGCGTTCCTCTACTCCACTTAAATGTAGTTCTTTATACGTGTCCCTTTTTAGTGGAAGAGAATGACTGCTATAAACTGAAAAAAAGAATTTCAAATGATTTATTTCTGAGCATGTAATTATTAAAGCAGATTCTGTCATTCTAAAATTAAATACTCCAAAAACAATATTGATCCTGAGAAAATATCATATGTACAGAGTTCTTTGCAGAAATACACATCATTAGCTGAAGTAAATGCACTGCTGCAAAACCATAAAAAGGCTGCTGTCCGTTCACATACTCCAGCAGATGAGGCAATCTTCACAGTCCTAGGGGGAAATGACAGGAATTTACTTGTGATCAACAACAGTCTTATTTAGAAAAAAAAAAATAATAATAAAAAACTACAATAGAAGTGTGAATGTGAACCCAAAAGCATTTGAACACTTTGGCACAGATTCCATTACATATCAATCCAAGTGGCACCTGAGGCTGAAAAGCTTTTTTTTTTTTTTTTTTTTTAACCTTAACTTATTTTTTCTTCATCAGTTTTGCAATGACTTTAAATAAAATCAAACTTGATCCTTGCTTATGGAATATTGCAGTATTTATTATAAATGATTTACCCATGCACGGCTTCATTATTAATTCATGTGCCCTTTGTAATCTAAATAACGTCGCCTCCCACTTGCAACGACATCTCGGCTGCATTCGAAATGGCATAATTCCCTACTAAATAATTGGTGAAAAGAGTATGTGACAAAAGTATCATGACTCTAAACGCACAGTACTCACAAAATAGTAGTCAAAAAAATAACCGGATGTCGTACTACTTCCGGTGAGATTCTGAAGTGTGCAATACAATTGAAACTTAACTATCCCATGAGGCCACAGGAGAGGATTTGTAAAGCTATGTAACTGACGCTGGTGGGTCCCGAGATAATGAAATGGTAAATGTAGTATGTCCAGATTATATTCATAGTAAGATATACTTTTCAAGAACGTACTTTTCAAGAACGTAATTTCCCTTCTCCGGATGACACGTTAAACCGAGGTCCTGACTCTCTGTGGTCATTAAAAATCTCAGGATGTCCTTCAAAAAAAGAGTAAGGGTGTAAACCTTGCATCCTGCCCAAATTCCTGTCCATCATGGCCTCCTAATAATCCCCATATTGGCTTCATCAAAGGTTTCCTCTCCACCAGTAAGTTTGTGGTGGGTGTTCTGGCACACTATGGCTGCCGTCGCATCAGCCAGGTGGATGCTGCACATTGGTGGTGGTTGAGGAGATTCCCCCTTTCATGTAATAGCACTATATATACGTGACAAATTATTCATTTAAAATAAGTATAAGGGTGGGACAACCTATCACTCACAAAAGATCAACCACACAGACCACAACATTGTGTCAGGTAGTCAGGTACATGTGGATTCAATGTGTACCAGATGTGGGCCGACACTGTAGCTGTCTCGGGCTGGGCAAAAGAAAACCAAACCACACCATCCAATCTCAATTCCCAATGGCCCTACTGTTTTCTCTTGTTCGTGCTGCTTCAGATAACCGGGTAGAAAAGACTACTTGCGACTACTACTTAACTCAATTCTCATTCAGTCCAGACAGGTGGGGTGAAGTTCATGACCTTAGTTCAAATACTACATTTTGAACAATCTTTTATAGTTTTTTCAAATCTAAACCGATTCTCGCAAATCCTGGGAGTAAAAACAAATCAGGAAAACATGAAGATTCTCACATTTAACGGGATGTACTCTTTGCTTTCTTGTTCTGTAGGCCACAACACTGCGCCTCGGAAACCTCGTCGTCTTTCTTCAGGACAGTCGGACGCAGCACGTCAATGTCTCGTTCGAGGTGCTCTAACAGCCCGCTGACGATATTCGGCGAGGCGTGGAAGTCCACGGAGAAGTATCCTCCGTGCGTGTGGAGACAGTTGTGTTTGGAGATGTTGTAGGGCAGCCTGCGTTCCCCGAGGTTCTCCAGACCCCGCACCACCGCGCCGCGCTCGAACAGCGTCTCCACCGTACGCCGCAACACCGCCGCGGTCTCCGGCCTCTGCATCGCCTTCAGGATCACGGACAGCTCATAACGCGGCATCTCCCGGTGCTGAGGGAATAGAGAGGTTATCTAAAAGGCAAATCTGCTCTGAAGTGCATGTGTGTCTTCTTCATAGACAGTAAAGGTCTTCATCAAGGATACTGTGGAAACACATGTGGAGGATAATGTAGTGCGCCACCTACAGCATCGGAAGGTTTTGCTTTCATCTTCTTCTTCTTCGTGCTATTTTAGGTGGTTGGCATCCAGCTTATTGATGCATTTCCGCCACCTTATGCTCCGGAGTGTGAATCAGAAAATAGGTTTACAGAAGTATAAATAAAATAAATTATAAAGTATAAATTGGCCTAAACCAAGCCAAACCCTCCTTTTTTCTCCCCCACGCACACATACCCCCCACCACGCGCGCGCACACACGCACACACACACACACCCACCTCATCCCAGTCCTTCTACATAATACTAATAATATCAACAACAATATTAATACTTTCAACTTTCAAAACCCCTGTTCAATAATCCTTTTGTTATTTAATAAACAATGTCCCGATATTAACCTAGATATGACAATTTCTTCCCCTACAAACAAGGGACGTCCCCCGGACTTTTCAAACGTCCCCTTAGGTCCGCATTAGGTCCGCTTTGTAACGTTCCCTAGCGGACGTTCGGAGGACGTCCGCACTTGGTCCCCTTTGTAACGTTCGCTGACGGACATTCCGATGACGTTCGCATTTGGTCCCCTTTGTAACGTTCGCGGACGGACATTCCGATGACGTTCGCATTTGGTCCGCTTTGTAACGTTCGCTGGCGGACATTCCGATGACGTTCGCATTTGGTCCGCTTTGTAACGTTCGCTGGCGGACATTCCGATGACGTTCGCATTTGATCCATATAACGTTCGCTGACGGACGTTCTGAGGACATTTGTCCGGCCCAGTTTGCGAACGTCCCTATTTCGTCCCTCACCTGGCATTTCCATAACAACACTTAACCAGTCGCCCATGTTTGCTATCATCAACTGAAACTTTACAACTCAGACAAACGAATAATTAAACTAAAATATAAATGCAAATATTTGCATTGATTGTAAAATTAAGTTAATGCTAAAATGTTAGTGTTTTAATGTTAAGATAATGTTCATGTTACTTCATGTAAATTCTAATCACTAATTAAAGATGTATACCACGAGTCTGTTTTCACCCGTTTTAATTTTAACATCAAAAACATGACAATTGATTCAATTGAATATGAGCTATAATTTATAAAGGCTATTCACATGCACAGAGATTGAATCCCAGGAGCTCTAATGCATCGACTTCAAATGATGAATGCAGCCAAGGAAAACGTGAAGAATGGAAAAGTGGATAATAACAGGTAAGACAAATAAAAGTATCCTAAACATTTACCTGTCAAACGTTGGTCAGGAGAAGGTGACTGGTTTTATTAAAAATAATTTATTTTAGGAAAAATATTGTTATAATTATTGTACTTAAGACTGATAGCATACAGAACAAATAACAAAAAAAAAAAACATTGGAGAAACAAGCGAGTGACGATCAAATCATAGAATCAAATGCGGCTAAGCGAGTGACGTCATTCCTTATGTACGCGGTTTGTATCCATGGCAACGCTCAGCTGGGTAGCGTAGTGACAGTTAACGGTCCTTCTCAGACGCAGCCTTGTGTTTCCTCTGTCCGTCGTCTGTCTAAAAGGTATTTTTAATTATATTATTATAAATTAGTCACCATAACCACTGTCCATCTTCAAATTATATGAAAATGTTACCTTTTAAAACGTTTGCTGAAGTTGTCCGCAATGTACCGCTGATAACCGTTATATGCTAATATGAGTAGCAGCTACGAAGCTAACAGCTGAAAATGAGACAACATTTCACATATTGATAAAATCATAATGGAATATGTTCATTTTTGTTGTTTTAGGTAACGTTAGACGCCGAAGGGGGAGAGCCATCGGATTAATCCCACAGCTGACCGACAAACACACACACACACACAGCTGCCAGCGCATTTGAAGACACACACACACGGAAATGCCACCTTTACAATTGTTTTAAATAAATAATGTACTTTGTTCCTTACACCGCGTCTGTTTTCTTTGGTTAGCCAGAAGTAAAATAAAATAAAATGATATTCAGGGGACTAAACGCGAAAGTCCCATAAACGTCCCGGATGGCCGCTGGTGGTCCTGGGAACGTCCTCTTGAACGTCCGGAGGACGTCTTCGCGAATGTCCGCGGGACATCAAGCGGACTCCACATGGGGACGTTCGGGGGGACGTTCGCACAGGCCATTTAGGGGACGTCCTGGGGACCTTTTTTTGTTAGCTGGGATCTCTCCTTCCATTTTCAACCCTTGTTGTATCTCTATCCCTTTGGATTTCCCCTCTCTATATGAACATTTTTCTCGCCACTTTTGATTTATTTTCTCACATATCACAATTTTAACCTCTAATTTGCTAATATTAACTTGCATTTATATATTTCCTTTTGTTAACACCTTTTTTGCTAATTCATCTGCCTTTTCATTCCCCCTTACTGGGGACCCATAACTTTACCTGTCTTCCTTGAATTACTATTCTTGTTACTGACTGGAGTAGGCTACTTCAAACAGCATTTCCACTGTTTAAACCCCTAATTTATTACATGTTCTCCTATTGATACCTATTCTTATCTGGTATCACCACCCCCAATCCTCATCAAATTACTATGCTTCTATAATTTAAAGCTGATCGTATTAATGCCACATATATTCTTTTCAGTGATGATCTGCTTGCTCCCAATCTCTTCCCAGACATCCCATCATTTCGCCTATTACTTTTCCCCCTTTTCCTCCATTTTCCTGATACGATCTGAAAACGTAAATTGTGAATCCAAACTAAGTTCCAACTCTCTCTGAATCGCTTCCATACATTCTTAGCTTTATTCCTTCCTGAACTCTAGTAAACAAACAAAAAAAACTTACCGTGTCTTATAGAAAATCTAAATCCCCAATCATAGCCCCACTCCACCACTTTATCAATTGGTGGTGACCTTGGCTTTCAGGCAGAAACCGATTACACCTAAAAAAGAAAAAAAGTACAAATAAAATATTGTATACATGTGTGTAGCAAGTTTTAAACTATGAAGCACAAATGGGCGAATAATAAGTAAACAGTTAAAAAAAATCAAAACAAATGTAGGCTAGCTACACTGTTGAAATAAACTGTATAAATGTATAAAACTGTTTTCAGACCTTATTAATCCTGTAAAGACTTCGGTAACACGAATTCCTGAGGACTCTAAACTATCAACATGATTAAAATTATTAAAAACAAATGATTGTACAATCTATGCCTTATTTTGTCTGATTGTTAGCTCAGGGATGGAAGCAAGAATTTTAAGTTGATTAAAGGAGGGGGTGGTTGTGGGTTACAAAAACATGAATTCATGAATACAGAATTTATGAAAATGTTATAATCGTACATTTAGTATGACGCACTCATTGTGCGCCATTTTCATCGTCTCCACACGTGACGCTGAAATAGCCAATCGCGCTCCTCCTCCACATGAGTGCAACGAAGATGGCGCAAGACGGCAAGGTGCCCAGCGATCTCTACCAGCATGTGTACTCGTTTCTCGTGGAGAATAAGTTCGCTAAAGCTGCGAAAGAGTTTATAAAGCAGTCTAAAGTGGTAAGTGCCTTTTACGTGTTTATAAGCCATCGTGCGCGTGGAGGCAGTAGTCCTGTGATGTGTCGACCGGGACGCATAGTTCTGCACACGCGTGGGACTGACACGCAGTTTCTGTTCAACACGTGTTTACGAGCCGCTGTATAGAATATGTTTTAATAGATTTAATTTGTGCCGGTTGTTTTATAATTTGTATCCTATGCCATTACAGCAGTGTTTTATACGTTTACATTTGTATTCTATCCCAGAATTAATTCATCACTAATTCATCACTATTCTCCTAAGACAGACTTTAGCAACAGGTTCAGTGTTGGAATCAAACTATAAATGTATAACATTTTACAGACCTTACAGTATAACCTATAAAGCCTGGGATATCAAAACTAAGTAATAAATTTATATTAAGAGTAGGCCTAATAGATTTATAAAATATTACAGCTGACAAAATAATAAACAATAATGCAAAATGGACATGCTGCATTCATTATTCTTACAAATGTTTTATATAGCCACAGAGTTCTTAACTTTTAGTTTTAGGTTGTCTCTGCTGCTGATGATCACCCCTCAAATTTGGAGTTACTACTTTACGTTTATATAAATGCATGCATATATACAGCATTTGTGTAGTTAAGTTGTACAATTTTGTACAAGTATTATAATTTTCAATCTTATCTGATTCCTCTCATCAGAAACCCCAGGACCAAAATGAGGACAGTCTTCTGGACATCTTCAATTTCTGGGTGAAGTAAGTATAAGCTGTCTTTTAATTGTTTGTATGGGAACTGTAGTTCACTCTTGCTCATGCCGGTAGTTTTGCTGCCATTTCCAATGTTGGGTTATCATCACTACATCTTCTTTCCTCAAGGTCACCAGAAACCAAAAAGCGTAAAGCGGTCACCAGTGGCCCCGTGGCTGTCAATGGCCCGTCAGCCAAGAAAGCAAAGAAAGATGCAGAGAGTTCAAGCAGTGAAGACTCCAGCAGTGAAGAGGAAGCTAAACCTGCCAAGAAAGCAGTGCAAGGTACATAGCTATCACTTTATCTTTCTCATTTAACAAGTTTCCACTTAATGGCCTTGTTCACCTCATATCGAGATGCGTTTTGGTTGATCGGATGGGGCGCTGAGGGTTGGGTATTGTTTCGATTTGAGCGATTCCGATTCTGCTTATTGTTTCCGATTCCAATATTTAAAAAAAAAGGGCAAATCCTTACTGAATAAATATTTCTACCTTTTATTCTTGCCAATTTAAAGCAATAACCAATAAAATAGCTTAAGTGAAAGGAGTCTCTTCAAATAAAGATTGTTGACTGCATTAGTAATCACCAGTAGTTGGCAAAACTCAACTGTACATTTTTTTTTTCCCTGAATCATTCAAGAAGACTTGAGAGATTAATTCAAAAACGGTGAATCGTCCATTCATTCAGCATCCATTGAATGAGATATCAAATTAGTTTTAAAAGTGTTTGAATTAATGAATCAAGTTTTTTTTTAAATAAGTAGACGAACATGTTATTGTTTGTAGATGTAATCATGATATCCATTTTCAACAAAACAAAAATAATTTAAAACAAAATAGATTCTCAGTATATCTTGAATTATGCATTGTCTAAATTGTTGCCTCACCTGTATATTTTTTTTTTACCTGAGTGAGAGATGCTGCTGTTGCTAATTTTAGAAATATCTGGTGCATTGTTGTGGCTGGGAGACATCTAATCAAACACGTTTTCATTCATTTAAATTATATATATATATATATATATATATATATTAATAGAAAGAACAGCTATTATTTGTAATTGAAATCTTTTGTAACTTTATACAGTGGTGTGAATAAGTTTGGACACCCATGCTAAAGTTGCCTAAAAAGATGAATAAAAAATCATCTTTTGGATATTGATCTTAATGCCTTAATTAGAAAAATGAGGAAAACTCCAACCTTTAAGGACACCAATTTTCTTTGTGAATGAATAATGTATCATAAATAAATAAATGTTTTTCCTAAAATAGACCCACATCATCACACACCATTCACCATGCCTAGAGATTGGCATGGTTTTACTTCAGTTAGCCTAAGTACCCCATGCCAATCTCTAGGCATGGTGAATGGTGTGTGATGATGTGGGTCTATTTTAATTCCAAAGGCCAAGGGAACTTTATCAGGATGCATATTATCCTGGATCCATGAAATAACTGGCTTTTAAAAATAAAAATCTGCCTGACTCTATGGGAATTTAACATAGGGGTGCCGTGACTTATGCACCCTGTGTTTTAAGGAAAAACCTTTATTTATTTATGATGCATTATTCATTCACAAAGAAAATTTGTGTCTTTAAAGGTTGGAGTTTTCCTCATTTTTCTAATTAAGGCATTAAGATCAATATCCAAAAGATGATTTTTTTTTTTTTATTCCTCTTTTTAGGCAACTTTAGCATGGGTGTCCAAACTTATTCACATCACTGTAAATGTCTTGACTGACAATTTTGATCAATGTAATGTATCCTTGTTGAATAAGTGTTAATTTCTTTCAAAGAAAAACTTTTGAAATGTTGTTTTTCAACACTACATTGTACACTGATATGAAGTATTGTGTGTTTCCAGTGAAAGCTCCGGCTCCAAAGAAAGCAGCAGCTGTAGCCGCTAAAGAGAGCAGCAGTTCTGACTCCAGTGACTCTGAGGATGAAGCTCCGGCTAAAACAGCAGCAACGGTCAGGAAGTTGATGATGTTTACATGAGCGTGTGGGATTTCTCTGCTAGAATGCCTCTTCCTGAATCTCGGCTTGTTGAATTGTTGTGCAGAAACCTGCAGCTGTGAAACCTGCTGTTCAGACTGCGGCAGCGGCCAGAAAGAAAGACACCAGTTCCAGCAGTGAAGAGTCCGACTCTGAGGAGGAGCCCGCCAAAACTCCAGCTAAAGGTGAGCTGAAGCACAAGGTCATATTCTCAATCAGGACTACACGCGTGTATTACTCCGGGCTTGCTGAGTTGCATGTTCAAAGTGGTGATCTGTGGTCTCCAGGAGCCAAGCCTGTGGCAGCGACCTCTAAACCGGCGTCCACTCCTGTACCTGCAGCTCAGAAGAAGCAGGACAGCAGCAGCAGTGAGGACAGCTCGAGTGAATCTGAGGACGAGGCTCCAGCTAAGGTCTTAACATAATAACATGCAACGTAATCATGCTGCAGAATTCACTATTTAGTTTTTTTTTACCCCAAATTCCATTCACCCCTATTTTAAAATGTAATCAAATGAGATTGGAACAATTCCTTTTTATTTTGGCTAACATACCGGGGACTTTGCATTTAAATAGCATTTAAATTTTCTGAGGTTTAATATTCACATTTGGGAATTTTATTTAAGATAAAAACAATAAACTAGTCTTATAACCCATGATTTATGTATTTTAGACGCTAATGTGAAAGTGAAGAAACGTTCACAAATTTATATTCATGAGATATATTTATATTTTTTTTTGATGATTTGATATTGATATATTCTTTATGACAGAAAGCAGTAAAAGCAGCAGTCCCGGTTAAGACCCCTCCAGCCAAACCTGCAGAGTCCAGCAGTGAGGACTCATCCTCAGATGAGGAAGATGCCCCTCCTACTAAGAAAGCCAAGACTGGTATTACTGCTTTTTTTCTGTATTATCTGTCTTAAAGGTGCACTAAAAAGAGGGGTTTTCTGTCTTATATCACCAATATTATTGGGATCTTGGACTTCACCCTGGGTGCAGCGTTCACCAGATCATGTGATCTCAACATAACATTAAACGTCTTTTCAGGACTGTATATGACTAGAGTCTGTCATGAGCATACTTTATTTAAACATTTGTCAACCTTAGTGCACCTTATGAGGCAAAAATGATTTCCCCCCCCCCAAAAAAAGAACACCAATGTAAAATTAAGCATCTCTATTCACAGGACAATTCAGTGCCGTCCCGCCCCCTGCAGCACTGACAACTCGTGCTCCAGTCAAAGCCCCCGGTAAGAGTGTGAGGTGTCCTGTAGGGCTGCTCGACTAAGCCAAAAATCAAAATCACTATTATTAAACTCGATTGTGAGCAGGCCATATGACCAAATCCTTAGAGTAATATATATATATATATATATATATATGTGTATATATATATATTTTTTTTACGATTGTGATGTATGTTATAAATATGCAAGTATATATTTGCTTGAAATAAGGTTGCTATTACATCTACATTGCAATTTCGATACCAGAGCAGACTACTAGGCAAACTAATGCAGGTGTAAAAAAAAAAAATATTGAAAATAAGTAAACCATCAATAATGTAATAAAAGGAAAAATACAATAGAAAAACAAAATAAAGTCTTTAAGTATTCAGCTAACAGCCTGCTGCAGAAACGAATACGTAAAATAAAATGCAACAGTCTTTACTGTATTAAACTTGTTTTGATTCTTATTAAAGCTACAAAAGTCCTTTCGTCAAGAGAAGTGATTGATTTGTCTTTTTTTGTTATTTTTGTTTGTTAACATTGACAGACAGCAAGAATATTTTTGGCTGCTGTAACTTTAAGACCGAATGCTCTGATCCAACCGGATACACAGCTGTATACATTCACTTAAGACATAATTGACAGGGTTTATGCAAATACTCGCAAAGCCGGGCATTTAGGCGCGCAGAACTCCCTCTCGCACATACAGAAACTGCCTGAGGATCAGCAGGAGTTCGCATTCACACTTTTAATAACTCTTTAATATAAAGCACAACAGAATGCAGAACGTTTTTGATTAATAGCACAGTCCTGTAGAACTTATTACAGCAAGCTATGAGAGGCCATGCACTGATTTTTGCTCAGGGCTGTTATAATTGTTGCATTGAGTTAATAATAATATTATCATTGAGTTAACCCTAAGTAGTAAAACATCTCGAAAAAATCGTAATTGAAATCGTGAATGGATCAATCCTTTTGAAAAAGTCGAGATTTTTTTTTTTTTTTTTTTTTTTTACCGTATCGCCCAGATTTAAAAAAAAAAAAAAGGCAGATTTAAAGCCATTATTAAAAAACTGCCATTATGTACAAATACAAATATATATATACAAGTTTATATATAGTTCTGTTACTATCATAGGTATTGGTTAGAAAATGTGCTTGCTTATTAAGATGTCCAAATATAGGTGTAAGTTCTTTTTTTTTGTGAACAATTTTTTATTTTTTTTATTTTGTATTTGCTTTCATATTAACAAACATATACATATTCACCACCAACATACATATGCACCAGAAACACAACATAAATACCTTCATTCTCTCACTCACACATCTCAACTTTACCCACACACCACAACACTCCTACACACACAAGAATATGCATAAAATTGAACAATTTTAAACCTTATCTAATCCCCCTCTACCCTCCCTACTGAGTGATCTACCGCACCCCCCCCCCATCCCCACCCCCACCCCCAGCAAGAAATTTAGTAGCTTTAAGAGCTTCTGACCAAGACCTCATGGTCTGCCCTTTAGCACCATGAGAACGTGCCGCAGAAAGCTCCAACGCAAGAATGTCTAACAGGAAGTTCCACCAGTGATGCAACGAAAGAGTATGTGGTGGTTTCCACCTTGTTGCCAGCATTTTCTTCGCAGCAGTTAAGCCAGAAAGCCAAATTCTTTTTTCATGTCTAGACATTGGAACCTGAGAATTATCATTTAACAAGCATAAAATAGGACAGCAAGGAATCTCCTTATTAAGAATTTCAGATAAAAACTTAGTGACTTGTGACCAAAAGGACTGTACTTCAGAGCATTCCCAAAACATATGAAGAAAAGTACCTATACTGCCCTGTGAGCACAGTTGACACAGTGGAGATGGCTCTAGCTTGATCAAATATCTAATTCTAGGTGTTAAGTAGGTTCTGTATATAAATCGTAAATGAATAGATCTATGATTGGGATTTTTAGAAGCTTGGTTAATGTTATTCCAAATGGTTTCCCAAGATATTGTAGGGGAAATGAGGCTGTAATCGTTTTGCCAAGTTGTTTGAATTGTAATTGGTTTATATAAACTTTGCATTATTTGGCAATAGATTGTAGATACGGTTCCTTTGGTATTCACATTATACATTTGTTTTGTAAAGTCATGTCTAGGAAGATTAGAATCCCATGGAACTCCATATGCCTTTAAGGCAGAGCGAAGCTGCAAATATAAAAAAAACGAGAATCCAGGTAAATTATAACTTCCCTTCAAATCTTGAAATGTGCGGAGACCATTGGTATTGAATAACTGTCCTAGTAAATAAATCCCATTATTCATCCACATTGGATAAGCCACTGTTCGACCACCCAGCAACAAATTATAGTTATAAAATATTGGAGTATGATAATGCCACTTTTTTTTAAAATGAGTATTATTGGTTGCAAGTTTCCAAGTTAGTAAAAGATTAAAAATAATAGGCCCAAAGCGCATTTTGGCTTGTTTTAATGGAACTTCTGCATAAATTAGATCTTGTAATCTATGCGGATGAGCTAATTTGTCTTCCAGAGGGCGCCAACAAACAGGTTTTGTGGGGTCTAACCAGAGTTTTATGGTACGCAATACAAAACACCAATGGTAAACTTTGAAATTTGGAACTCCCCAACCTCCCACTGATTTCTCTCTCTGAAGAGTTGTAAGTTTAATCTTTGGTCTTTTGTTATTCCAAATAAACGTAGTGATTAAACTATGTAAGGTATCCCAATACTCAATATGTGGACTTAAAGGCAACATAGAGCTAAGAAAATTTACTTGCGGTAACACTATCATTTTTACAACAGAGATCCTCGCATCGAAAGATATAGGCCTTAGTGTCCACTTCCCTAGGTCTTTTTTAATCTTTTCCAAAACTTTCATATAATTATTATTAACCGTAGATTCCAAAGTTGGAAAAATGTCGATTCCTAGATATTTAAATTGATTTACAATTGGGATCTTAATTTGTGTTATATCCTCACCAGAGCTTAGGGGAAGGAGAGCAGATTTCTGCCAGTTTATTTTGTATCCTGAGATATCACTGAAGTCTGAAAATAATTTCAGGATATAAGGGAATGAATGTGAGAGTTTATTAATAAAGAGAAGTACGTCATCTGCATAAATTGATACATGATGGATAGTAGAATTTATTATTATAGGTGCAATGTTTGTAGATTGACGTATTTTTTGAGCAAGCGGTTCAATAGATAAAATAAATAATAAAGGGGACAGAGGGCATCCTTGACGAGAACCTCTAGAAATTGTAAAATAAGAAGAACAAACATTGGCTGATACTACCATTGCACACGGGTTTGCATACAAAACTTTAATATACCTGATAAATTGTTCACCAAACCCCATGTGCTCTAATAAGGCCCAAAGATAACCCCATTCGAGTCTATCAAAGGCTTTTTCTGCGTCAAGCGTTAAAATTCCGCATGCCGTCAGAAGGTCAGAAGACTTAGAGGTAAAATGGAGGATATGTAATAACCTTCTCATATTATCTGAGCTAAAACGGCCTTTCACAAAACCTGTTTGATCACAGTGGATAAGATTCCCAAGATGTTTGTTTAAACGGCGCGCTAAAACTTTAGCATAAATCTTCATATCAACATTAATCAATGATATAGGTCGATAACTAGCACATGATGTTGGATCTTTCTGTTTTTTGAGAAGCAATGATATTAATGCTGTATTTGTTTGCCTTAGAAAATATCCTCTTCTAATAGATGTATTTATCATTTCCAAAAGCATGGGACCCAATTCAGACCAAAAATTAATATACATCTCAATTGGAATACCATCCGGTCCAGGAGATTTTCCCAGCCTCATTTCTTGTACTGCGTCCCATAATTCTTTTAAAGAAATATTTTCTCCTAATTCAGCTGCTTCCATTTCTGACAATTTCCTTATACTTACATCAGTAAGGAAATTCTTGCATCTCTCCTTATTAAACATTATATCAGACTTATAGAGATCTTTATAAAAACAAACAAAGGCTGCATTAATTTCTGTTGGAGTGGTTACTATATTTCCACCTGAACATTGTATTGCAGAAATACAAGCCCGCCTTTCGTTAGAATTAAGCCGAAGGGCTAACTGATGTGAGGGCCTGCTACCATTAAAATAATGGTGTTCTCTGGATTTTTTAATTAAAAACTCAGCTTTTACTCTAAGTATTGAATTAAGCTCACTTTTCACCAGACTAAGCTGATCTGTTCGTAAAGGAGAAAATGAATTTTGTTGCGCTCTTTCCAAGAATGCCAGCTGCTTCTCCAACTCAACAATTCTTTGGTTATGAGTGCGGTTTAGAAAAGAGGCAAATGATGTAACATTATCTTTTATAAATCCTTTGATTGCTTCCCAGATGAACCTAAAATCTTCGACCGAGTCCAAATTGAGAGAAATAAATTCACTTAACTTGGATTTAAATTGAGAGCAAAAATCTTCATTTAATATTAAAGTGGTATTAAATCTCCAACGAGATGCTTTTGGTTTAGTAACTGGTAATAAAAAATTTGCTTTAATTGCATGATGATCAGACAGTGAAGCTAGAATAATATCAACTTCTTTTACTTTTTGACAAAGTGTCTTAGAAGTAAAAATATAATCTATTCTTGAATATGATTTGTGTCTATTAGAAAAGAAGGTGTACTCTTTGGCCACTGGATTATGAACTCTCCAAACATCTAATAAGTTAAGGTCTAACATACATTGCTGCAGGGCCTTAGAACAGGATAACCGTGAACTGCTTAGTGAAGGGTTTGATTTATCCAGCATAGGATTTATTATGGCATTCATATCTGCACCAATAATTAAATAACACCCTGAAAAATTCATCAGCATATTTATTAATGCTGAAAAGAATTTTTTATCATAATTAGCAGGAGCATAAGCGCTGACAAAAACAGCTCTCAGATTCGATATATCTGCTTTAACATAACCTTCTATATCATTGCCCGCTTCTATAATATTTATACTTAAAGAGCGTCTGATTACAATCAACACACCTTTCGTTTTATCATCTGCTGAAGATGAAGCTACAACTTCATATTTAGAGTTACTAAAGCTGTTCACAGATTCCTTTGTAAGATGTGATTCTTGAATCAGTGCTATATCAATACGTTTGCTATCTATATACTCCAGACAAGCAGTTCTCTTAGTCATCCTATTAAGACCCTGCACATTCCATGATATTACAGAAAGATTAGTCATTGGTATCAAAAGGAAATGTAAAACATTTATCTGTGATCAGAGACCGCAGCCTTAAAATGCTGTATAAAATATCAAAACACTTGCCATCCCACCTTCCCAGTAGATCACTCAGTGTCCCAACCCGTTACCTATATTATCATCCGTGATTAGTGGATGCAGAGTCGCGCTCCTGTGAGCACCCATTCCCCCTTCGTACAGCCGCCAAACTTGAATTGGAAATGGTTGTACCTATATGCTCAGTTTTTGGAACAATGAGGAGAAGTAGGCTATTCATTTGTGTAGATAATACACCCCCCGTCAATATAAAAGAATAATTAGACCTACTTATCCTGTTTTAATTCTTTTAGATCATAACCTACTAATAAGTTTGTTGAACGTCATTTATTTTGCAGCCCAAAATATTGTTAACCTTAAAAAAGAAACCAAAAAAAAAAAAAAAAAACCACCACATAGTTCAAAGAAAAAACAAAAAACAAAAAGGAAACAAAATATATAGAAGAAAACGTCCGGATGTCCAATTTAGGGACAGAATGACACAAAAACAAGGAAAAGAAAGGAAAGTATTCCAGCCTACTTGGGAAATTCATTGCTGTCCTGAGGGAGAGGACTGATCGTCTTAAACCCAACTGCACCCTCATCCGAGCCCAGCAAAAGGTCCAGATTGGGACTGCTCACAAATTTCCCTGCCTCCTCGGGAGTTTTAAACAGCATAACTTCTTTTCCGATGGTTACCTTCAAAGTCGCTGGATGGAGTAGAAAATTGGCTATTCCCTTTTTTGTCAGCTTGCTGCGAATCTCGCTGAAGGCCTTTCTCTTTTGTGCCGTCTGTTTGCTGTAATCCACAAAAAAACGCAGCTCTTTACCGGCGTGCATAATTGGTTTCCCCCGTCGGGCTTCTCTTAGTATCTCCAGTTTCGTACTGTGTCGCAGACATTTAACGATCACAATTCGGGGATGGTCAGCCTGATTTCTGCTGTATACTCTGTGACCATATTCTAAATCAAGTGGCGTATCCTTGAGAGCAGGTATCCATAACGGAAGATGAGTTGAAAGAAACTGCAGTACGTTACTGCCCTCTGCTCCTTCCTTCAGTCCGCTGATTCGGATGTTCTTCTGACGTGCCCGATCCTCCTGATCAATCAACCGCAGTGTAAGGTTTTCAATCTGGCTGTAACACTCTTCAATTGATCCGGTGAGGCTTTTTTGTTCTTTTTGAAGTGTACTGGTTGCAGAGATACACTGCTTAAGCTTTATGTCATTTTCTTTAGTCTGTTCTTTCAATACATTCAGACTGACAGAAAGCACCGACAGTTCTGATCGAAGTGTGGAAATACCGTCCGTAATGTCGGACTTCAATTCCGTTCGTAGATTCTGGATTTCTCCTTGCAATGTTTCAGTAAATGAAGCCGACTGCTCACTCACGGCAGTCTGAATAGCCTCGACGATGTCTTCAAACTTTGTCGGAGTACGGCCTGAGCGCAGCATTGTTCAAAGGGAAACCGCGTGGACCAAGTGAGCAAAATGTTTGGTTGTAAATCAGCAGTCTTTTAGCTCCGCCATAAGTGTTGTAAAAAAAAAACAGCAATCGACTTTCTAACAAGTTTGTTTTATGACATCTTCCTTAACCGGTATTTCTTTTTAAAGCATAATTTCTTATCCAGAGTTATTGGCTGTTTCGAAGAGGTTAGGCGCTCAGCGGCGTTCCGCCATCACCCTACCATCAACCGGAAGTCTGTTATGGGTGTAAGTTCTTCAAGCAAAATCTAATTTCTTTTTCCTATCCTTTTTCCAAGCAGCCGCAGTAAAGACTGTGACTCCCAAAGCTACTGCTAAGAAGGACTCCAGTTCTGACAGCTCTGGTACGATCTCTGCAGATTATCACCACTAAGTCACAATTGGGGCTCTTGAAAATGAAACTTCACAAAAATGAACTTTCTTTTTCTCAGATTCCAGCTCAGAGGATGAAGCAAAGAAGCCAGCGGTCAAAGCTGTGCCCGTGAAAGCAGTCCCAGTTAAGAAGCCTCCTACAAAGGTTGCTCCTGCTCAGAAAGAGGACTCTTCAAGCTCAGATTCTTCAAGCTCAGAGGACGAAGCAGCAAAGCCAGCGGTCAAAGTCACACCTGCAAAAGCTGCATCTGCTAAAGCCGTACCTGCTAAAGTCACTCCAGCTGCAGACGAATCTTCTAGCTCTGAAGACTCTGACGACGAAGAGGCCAAGAAACCAGCAGCTAAAGTTGTCCCAGTTAAACCTGCGCCCACCAAGAAAACGCCAGCGAAAGTCACGCCTGCTGCAAAAGAGTCTTCTACATCCAGCTCAGAGTCTGAAGACGACGAACCGGCCGCAAAGCCTACTCCAGCCAAGGCGACCCCTGCTAAATCTGCAACTCCGAAGACAACTCCTGCTAAAGCTGCTCCTCAAAAGAAAACTCCTGCAAAAGCTGCAACCCCTGCTAAAGCTGCTCCTCAAACAACTGCTAAGAAAGATGACTCCTCAAGTTCAGGTCTGTTGTCATCATTACGTCCAGTTAGTTTATATCCAAAAATACTTGGCAACATATGGCCCACTCTCATTATGTACTATATAGCAAACCTCAGGTGCTTGATTTGTTATTTTTTAAATAAAGTCCTGCTAAACCCTTGAAAAAAGACATATTTATGAAGAGGTACTTAACGTTCTTGAATTATTGAAAGACAATATATAAAATTAGTTCAATTTAAAAAGTCTTTTAGCGGCCTGTCTGATTTAGATGCGGAGTGTGATGTTGCTCATGTATTTCCAGGTATTTGATGCATCTTTCATTCTTCAGGTCTATCATATACTCATGAAGATAAATCAATTTAAAAGATCTTTGTCATGACTCATGGTATCCCTTCAATGGTTACGGGGATTTCCCATGATTGGGATGGCACTGGTCAATGAATTGATCTCTTTGTGAAGCGTCAATTCAGCTTCACCCCGCTTTGCTTGGCGGTTGCACCTTAAGGTGTCGTTCAAAGTTAAAATAATAATTTATTTGTTTACAACCTTGCTTAGTTCCAGTCCAGAATGAATTGGCTTTTTTTTTTTTTTTTTTTGGTTTAATGAATGGTCTAACTCGCTCTTAAAGTCAGTCTGATAAACACCCATCAGACCGTTTCTCAATACCAAGTACGTCAACATTATAATATAAATTATTATTTATTGAACAATAATAGCATTTAATATATTTTGGATACCTTGTATATAATTTGAGTAAAAAAATATAAAAGCAGAAATATGTTGGGCAAGCAAACCCTTTGTTTTCTTCTGTTATTACATCTCATTAAAAAAAAAAAAAAAACGGTAACACTTTACAATAAGGTTCATTATTTAACATTAGTTAATGTATTAACTAACATGAACTAACCACGAGCAATACATTTGTTACAGTATTTGTTAATCTTCGTTGATGTTAGTTAATGATAATAAAGCTGTTCATTGTTTGTTCATGTTAGTTCACAGCACATTAACTAATGTTAACAAGATTTTAATGAAGTATTAGTAAATATTGAAATTAACGTTTACAAAGATTAATAAATGCTGTATAAGTGCTGTTCATTATTAGTTCATGCTAACTAATGTAGTTAACTAATGTTAACTAATGAACCTTATTGTAAAGTGTTACCAAAAAAACTGTATAGGAAGTTAATGCTCATTTTGCCATTATTCATTAAATTCTAGAGCTTTGTTAATAGAGTGCCGAAGTTACGACGTCACTCTGTAGGCCAAAACGCGGAAGTGAGTTAGCATTTTAGCACTACGGTTCCCTCGCTCTAAAGCCTATGGGATTTTTGAATGGGTTTTCGCTAAATCGCCTGAAATAAGGTCAAGGTGAACAAAGCCTCTAAATATTTTCACGTTTTGATCTCTGACATAGAACACACAGTTATAACCTGCTTGTGTTTTTTTAAACTTTATTGTGTCTGTGTTTTTTAAAATCTTTATATAGGCTTCAAAATGTATACATTTTGGATTAACTTGTAAAGATTATCTTGTTAGACAAAACGTGTAAGGGTCACAACTCTTTGTTGAACACCGATCTTATTTTTTGCGATTTTTCCAAAAGTCTATGGGGAAAATGCATTGCTTTTCGACCGAAGGAACCCGTGCACGCTAGCTTCCGAGTTCACTTCGGCACTCTATGTTCCTATAGCCATACCATTACTCTGCACCGTCATTGCATACATATACTAAAATTGGATGCATTATATCTAGCCACTTTTCTTGCATGCAGCACTTGTGTTAATTTATGGCAAATCTCAACTCCCTGTTTTGAAATATTTTTGCCATTATTTGAAATGGATCAACTAACATTTGTTTCATCATAGTTGTTCATTCAGGTTTGGAAATGAGTGAGTGCTGATGATCAAGATTGTATTAACTTATGGATCTGTTTTACCTCCCACAGATTCGGACAGTTCTGAAGATGAGGCACCAGCTAAACCAGCAGTCACGTCCAAGCCTTTGAGCACTCAGAAGAAACCTGCCACCACACCGGTATCCAAACCAACCAATAAACCAGCGGAGAGCAGCTCAGATTCAGACAGCTCTTCAGATGAAGAGGAACCTCAAAAGAAAGCCGTCACCACACCTGTATCCAAACCTAAACCTGTGGTTACCTCAGCCAAATCTACCCCTGCCGCTAAACCCGCTGAAAGCAGTTCAGATTCAGACAGCTCGTCCGATGAGGAACCACAGAAGAAAGCCGCCACCACACCGGTATCCAAACCGGCTACCCCAGCGAAACCTGCAGCTAAACCAGCCGACAGCAGTTCTGACTCTGAGACTGACAGCTCCGATTCAGATGCCGAGACTCCAGCTGCCAAGACCCCGAAACCGACTGCTAAGAGCCCTGCGTCTGCTGCTAAACCACCGGCTCCAGCCAGTAAGACCACAGCCCAGTCCAGCAGCAGTGAAGACGACAGTTCCAGTGAAGACGAGAAGAAAGTAAAGGCTACTGTGACGCCCAAAGCAGCAGCAGCTAAACCAGTCGTGAAGAAGGCCGAGAGCAGCAGCTCGGATTCATCAGACAGCTCAGACTCTGAGACGGAAGTGAAGAAGACTCCCGCAAAGCCTGCAGTCGCCAATGGGAAGGCTGCGAAACAAACCCCCACCTCTGCAGCGAAGACACCGGCCAAAAAGACAGCCGAGTCTTCATCCTCTGATGACAGCAGCTCTGATGAAGAGGAGCCGTCTAAAACACCGGCTGTCAAAACTCCACCCGCTAATAAGGCGCAGCCTGCTAAAGCCAAAGCCAGCAGCTCTTCTGAGGACTCGTCTGAGGAAGAGGACACCAAGACTCCGGTCACTTCTGCAACAAACGGTATTGGCTGATGCAAACGTGGTACTGGCTCTCAGGCCGGTTAACACATTAAAAAATACAAAAATTAACACAAAAATCAACAATTTCGCACTTTAAATTATCGAGACATTTTAACTAAGTTGATGTTATTATAAAATAGAGGCCGACTGATTATCGGCTGATATTAGGCATTTTCCTAACTATCGGTATCGGCATTTGTAATGGCCAATAAATTAATATTTTTTTTTAAATGCGGGTGCGGTGTAAGGGTGACGCTGCCAATAAAAGCCGTCACAAAGAACTGGCAAAAGTAATTATTGTGAATACATCAAATATAGCTAGGAGACATTTTAATTTATTAATAAACAAGTGTTTTCAGTCATTGTCGCTGCAAAGTTTACAACGTGATCTTCAGTGAACACGCCAGAGAGAAATGCACATTTCATACGGATTACAGCAGAGAGCAGTCTTTCTTTCGTTTTAAATTGTAGACATTTCAATATAGATATTTCTCAGGAGTTTTCAGTTCATTTGAGACGCATATTTATGTTCTGTTGAGAGCCAACCCTTCTTCATCCGGTGGCTAGTAGCCTATTACTTTTGATTTTCGCAGTGTTATTCACAGAATTGATTTCTCTGCTAGCAGCTTCTGTCACCTATTGTGTGAGCTTGTGATGACTAGGGAAAGCACGCAGCTGAGAAGTCATCATGATTATATTGTAAATATATTGCTATATTTACTTCTTATTTATTAAATCCAGGTAATTTGTTGATGAAACATTGATTAAAATGCGTTGCGCAAGCAACAAATCTCCGACAGTAAATTAATGCCCCATTCTGCTTTGTAACAGCCACTTTTTTGCGTCTCAGGTAAACAGCTGATGCGACGCGAGCAACAATGGCCACGTCCAGTGTAGACACAGTGTTAAAGCCCATTCTGCCGATAACGGTAGATTACACCAGCAATAATTTATGATTATAACACTGTTTAATGTTTTGTACAGTTTGCCTACTATTTAAAAATGGTATGAAAGTACTGTACGTATACAATTCATTATGATAGACCTTTTTACTAAAGTAAAATTAATAATAGCCTGAGTTCTTCCTCCACTGGTAGAGATTAGAGGAATTTAGACTAAAAATAGAAGAAAATAGGTTTTGTCAGTGACACTTTTGATATATACTGATACAAGTAATGTGTTGTATATCGAGACTACATTAAAAGACAAAGTCGTTAGTGAATATTATGCAACAGTATTAATAATATAATATATCATGCAATGCAAACTAGTTTGGTTATAGCTCAAATGTCTCATTCTCATTCTGTCATTCACCCTGTCTCCATTACATATTTTTGGCACAAGTGTGTGATCACCACATTTGAGTGATCATTGCAAAACATTTATATATTTATTCTGATTATGCTGTGTATTCTATATACAGTACCCATCAAAAGTTTGTACACACCAATAGGAAAGTGTGTCTAAACTTTTGAATGTTGCTGTACTATAATACACGTACATAATATTGCTACTGTATTATAATATACACATAAATAATATCGGCCGATATATCGGTATCTGGCTTTTTTTTAATCGGCATCGGCCCCCAAAATATTGGTCGGGCTCTATTATAAAAATATGGCACTTGCGTGTGAGATGCGAGCACCTTTATTTTTGTCACAATCAAATTTGTAATGTAAGATGACCTGCGAAGGTCTGGGGTAGGGCGGGTGCGTTAATACCCCCCCCCCATATCCAATTAATTAAATTAACACGTTATAGCGACAGCCCTATTACAAATGTTGTAACTGCCAAATACTACTCTTGCATAAAGAACACTCAAGTCATAATTGAATAGTGTTTAGAGTTCACTTCTCACATGTTGGTGTAGTGAGGTTATTTCTTTTCAAGTGTAGCTGTTGGTAGCTGTAGTCAACGAAATCTCGTCTAGAGTCTAACTAAACATTATACCATTCCAACTAAATATACATTTCAAGGGGGAGAGTAGAGATGTAACGATTCACTCGCAACCGGTTGAAAATCGATAAAAATGTGTGATGATTCAAGTCGGTTGAAACGAATCGCGATTCACATTTTAAACAGCAGGGACGTTTACTGAATAGCCTGTGAAGCTGTGAACCTTGCTTTATAGGCACAATAGCACACACTGGCACGAACCTAGCGAGTGTTTTCACTTCATTCGGAAGGAACTTGAGCTTGTGTGAGCACTCAGTAATGAACTGAAAACACTTCGTTTGCTCTGCTCGCGCCGCGTGTGTGCCATAGACTGTGTGCACGCGCTGTCAAACACATGGCGACGGCAAGCGTAGATGTTGACTCATTCAAATCGGAGCTGTGGCGGCATTTTGACTCTTCGTAGACTAATAATATTCACCACCGTGAGAAGCACATCACCTCCGTTTTCACGTAAAAGTCATAATACGACAAGTGTGAGAGCTACGGAGATCACAAGGTGCGTCAGTGTTTCCATGGCAACCATGTGTCCTATTTATTTTACTATCTCTTTCTCTAAATGTGTACATGGATTTTATTTTTTATGGTTATAGCATATTTTGCTATGTGTTCTGTTTTTTTTTTAACTCTTTCTAGTTTAATGATACAAATTATGACAAAATTTAAATCTTTCTTTTATTGCAATGTAAAACGCCTGTCAATGTGGTAGACCTACTAATTTCACAGTCTTTTATTTAGTGTGCAAAGGTGACCAGTGTCCAGCCTCTTGATCAGGCAGACGGAAGGGAATGTTTTTTTTCAATGTAGTTTTTATTATTTGACAAATATATTTCAAAATGAAACAGAAATGTGCAGCATTTTGTCTGAGAAATAATAAAATAGACACTTTTTCATTTATAATTTGTCTCATTTGTTAAAAAAATTGTGAGAAAATCGTATCGTGAAACCGGTATCGTGAATCGCATCGTGAGTTGAGTGAATCGTTACATCCCTAGGGGAGGGATTTACAGAGAGGAGGAGACTAGGGACAAAGCATGCAAATGCTGTAGGTGTGATCTCGTTACCAAACTTTCCCCAGGCCTGATCTCATTAGCATAACCGTTATTCAGGGCTAATCCCATTAGCCTGACTAGATTGCTCAACCATTACCATTATCATAGACAAAAGCAGAGCTGTATCTCAAACTTAATGGTCAGGAAGTGCAGAAAGACTAAAGCTAATGTCAGACACCTGGAATGCTTGGCTTAATCTTATTAGCCTAGAAATGGTAAACGCTGTATGCACTTTTTCAGTTAAAAAACTGGAATCTAAATTAATTAAACATTTTTAAATTTGTAACCCTTCATTGGTAAGCTAACAGTGTAATATTTGAAAAAACAAACAGCACATTAGGTTGCAGCAAATCCTGTTTTTTCCATCTTGTCTGGTTCGGACACTGATGTGGCAGGACATAATTAAATGATGTAAGGGGTTTATTGTAAATTGTTTAACAGAACATAATTTTAATGTACTCACGTTTGTTTTTTTGTCTCTCTTCCTCCTGATCGCAGGCACACAGAGCAAGACAACACCCAAAAATAAAAAAGTCACCACATCCACACCTCAGACCTTCCCCAGAACCAAACAGAAGGTAAATGCCTGTGATTGTGTGTGTGTGTGTGTGTGTGTGTTGGCTCAGTGCATATTCAAACACACCCAGGGGTTGAGGATTCTGATTCCTGGAAACATGCGACAAACATTAGTATATCGGCTTCAGTGATATGAAATCTGAGAGATGTCTCTGCGTCTATTTAAAGTCCGTTCCACCAAAACCAAACTTTTGAAGCCTCAAAGTAATCCACATGAATTATAGCTGGACGATTCGGAATTACATTGGATCACGATCAAATAAACAAAATAACGTTTGAATGGACTAAAGCAATGACCGTTTTGTCAGAACCTGTAGTTTACAAGATATATTAATTTGGACAAAATAAAAATTTGAAAACAACCTCATTCATCAAGAGTCAAGACTCATTTCCTTATTGGATTAATTCGAAATTTGATACGTGTTTGTGTATAAATCTATGAAGCACTTTTTTAAACACTCTTTTGTCTCCACCCACTGGTGTAACAAAAAGCTCTTTTATCCCGTTATTAAAATGTTTGTAACACATTAATAACGCTAATGTGTGGTTGAAAAGACTCTCGTACTGTACATTTACATCGCAGCTGCTTTGTGCAGATCAGCGGAAGCACGAACACAGATTTGAATGTTGCCGTGTGATGATCGTACTTTCAAAGCTTAAAGGGATACTCCACATTTTTTGGAAATAGGCTCATTTTTCAATTCCCCCAGAGTTAAACAGTTGGGTTTTAGCTTTTTCAAATCCATTCTGCTGATTTTTTGATATTTAGAAGAATTTCAGTAACCAGACATTTTCTGGTCTCATTGACTTCCATAGTAGGAAAAAAATATATGCTATGGGAGTCAATGAGACCAGAAAATGTCTGGTTACTGAAATTCTTCTAAATATCAGAAAATCGGCTGAATGGTTTCGAAAACGGTGAAACTCAATTGTTTAACTCTGGGGGGGGGGGGGGGGGGGGGGGGGAGAATTTTAGACCGAGTCTTCAAATAGAATTACATTTTTTGTCTGGTGGACAAGTTTTAAAACTGGTGAAACACATTATGTCAAAAACATTTTTAAAGATTATTATTAAATTGGCTGCTAGCAATTCTCCGTACCCACAGTAGGAAGCGCCACACAGCCATATTGTCACGACTGTTTGGTTATGCACTTCTGCTTAAATGCATTTTCTGTTTGTTTCTCGGTTGTGTGGCTTGTAAAGGAAACCAATGCTCCTTTCCGTAGAGTAAGAGACGAGGAAATTGAAGTGGACCCCCGACTGGCAGACAATTCATTTGACGCAAAGGTGAGATTTAGAAACATGTGAATGTCTATTAGGCCAATGTCCTTGTGCATGCATACTAGTGCTTTGTTTCATTTGTTTGACTCTGATTTTTTACTTCAAGATGGGCGCCAACGGAGACTGGGGGCAGAAAGCCAACAATGTGCTTAAATTTACCAAGGGCAAATCTTTCCGGCACGAAAAGACTAAGAAGAAGCGTGGCAGTTACATTGGCGGTGCCATCTCCACCTCAGTGAACTCAATAAAATTCGACAGCGAATGAATGAGCGCACAATGTAAACGAACTTGGATTCCATTTGAATGAGCTTTCCCGCCTGTATCTCCCATTCTTTGCTGTATCGGCTCTAGCAAGCACTGTTCTTACCCATCTACCCTCCCGTCGCTGTTCTGCCATCACTACTGAGGTGAAGAAGGCAGGAATAGAGGCGGCTGGAAGAGTGTGCGGTTTCATGATCCTCTACACTCAATCCGTCATGCGGTTAGACGTGGTGACCACGTGGTGGCATCGTTTCATAAGTTTTGCAATAGAAAGTCTTTTGATTAGCTTATGTCAAATCATTTTGGCTTTACTGTAAATGTTTCTTGAAGTTGGTTGACAAATTATGAATGGTTGTTCTAACAGGTAATTGTTAATATGCTAGAAATAATGGAGAGATTTGCTTTTTTTTAATTACGAGTCTTAAAGAAATGTCATTGTTATGCTTACCTTATGAGCCTTTCCATGTATTTTGAACCTCGCGATCGTCTCATTTGAAGAAGCCGTGTAATGACTCCGCCCACTTCTGTTCAACGGACCACTGGAAGACCGCCATCAGTCATCCTCATTCGATTTTAGTTTTGATATTTTATGGTTTCACTTCTGTTATGCAGTATTTTGTAATTTGATCTCCCTAATAAATCAGTCTTGTAACTGTAATAAATGTTTTGTCTGAACCCAACTGTATTTTTTAAATCAAATGTTTAGTTCTGAGCTCATGTTTTGTTTGCTGATGAACAGATTTAAATCCATGATAATGAAATCAAGCAATGTGTGGCTGTGTGAGTTTAGCCTAAAAGAAGACTGCACTCAGTGGGGTCTAGTTAATTTGGGACCAGATATTTAATAATAAAGTGGATAATCCTGTATTTGGTTTGGAGAATTATTTGCTGAATCCATCAGAGATTTACTGACTCTCCAAACTGAATACAGTTTTGCACATTTTATTCTTTTGGCATTCTAATACGAAGGTATGTAAACATTTAAAAATGTAGTCAAACTTAACTTATATTTTCATTTGATTCACTTTATCTTGTCAAATAAGATGATGTGCAACAGAAGTGAACTATAATTTTATAATAAAGGTAAAATATAAAATTATATTGGTTAGAATAAATAATAATATTATTTTATTATTTTTGGAAGTACGTTTTAATTTTCAAGATTACCAAATCCGGATTACAAGTGCTCTAAATGGGACAACATATCACAATGTGGGATACCAGCTATGTAAAGAACAGGTAGAAGAGCCAACATGGGGTCACTGTAAGTGTTTCTTATTTTGAGACAAAACACAAATGGGGACAAGATATTATTTATTTTATTTTTACTATACTGAATAGCTTAATTGTTAGCCTATGTCTACTTTATCACTGTTACAACAGTTACACAAGTCAAGTGCAAAATATAAATAAAAGTATATACACTAAATGATACAAATGTATAAGTTTTACTACATTTTCTTCCTGAAATCCACCTTGAAATCCTACCCCCTGCTGGCATCAGGATAATCCTGTTTTTTTTTTTGGATCAAAGTTATCCAAATCCCACTGACAAATTTTGAAAAACACAAACTGAAGGTTTGATCCAGATTAAAACTAGGATTGGTTTCCCTGATCTAATCTGATTTCAGATTCCTTCTTTCCCTTTTAAACAACCCATTTTCAAGATTCGATCCAATCCGATAACCAAAATCCGGTCAGCTTACCTTTGAACAACTGGCCCCTTCTTTTATCTTCAGTGGATTTCATCTAAGGCTGTGGATGAAGTCAGTTGTAGTTTCTCTTTTGTTGTTTCTCATTCCTTTAAAGGGTTAGTTCACCCAAAAGTGAAAATTATGTCATTAATGCCTCCCCCCTCATGTCGTCCCAAGCCCGTAAGACCTCCGTTTTATCTTCGGAAACAGTTATTTTAGATTTTCTAGAATGTTCCTCCATTGAAAATGTATGTACGATATACTGTCCTTGTCCAGAAAGGAAATAAAGACACCATCAAAGTAGTCCATGTGACATCAGTGGATTAGTTGGAAGCATTGAAAATACATTTTGGTCCAAAATGAACAAAAACTATGACTTTATTCAGCATTGTATTGTCTTCCGGTTCTGTTGTCAGAAAATGGTGTTTTACAGAGAGATGCTAGCGGTAAACATTTCAGCCTTTCATTCTTTTGTGAATGTGTTTTAGCATATTCTCCATCATGGATATGTTATGGTGTCAGCCCTACATTTCTGGTTGGCCTAGACCTTAACAGCATAGTACTGTATGCATGAAGATCTAAAACACTTGAACCCTGTTAATTGCAGCTTACAGCTATATTTATTATTATTATTTTAGTTTATACAACTGGTTCTGTGTAAGAAAGAAGGCTCAAACTTTTTTTTTTGACCTTTTGCTGACATTTTTTTTTTTTTACTTTCTGTTTACATCCCTAACCGCTTCATTAAGTGTGAGAGCTGGCGGACACATCTGCAGAATACTGCATTAATACAACAGGAAAAAACACGAGTCAACCCCACATCTCTCTCTCCAGCCAGTTTAAATTTAAATAAATACTAAAATTTATGGTTTATCAGAGATCTATGACTGATGGTGACTTTAATGTGTGCTAATTAAAGAGACTCACGGGTATGTCATTAGTTCAGAGAAGAGCTGTAAATGCTGATTCACTTAAGATAAGTGTAATGCTGCCCTTGGGTGGGTGTTTAAAACACTGCTCATACTTCAGCAATGGGGAATTAAATAATATAATGCTTAGAAACCATGATTCAAGAAGACACTTAGAGGTGAAAGTGGGGTGTTTGTGGTTTTATTCATTAATAAAAATATGCAGTCTAGACTGAACTGAGTTTTTTAGCATTTCATGGTCTGCATTAGGATCTAACAATGGGATATTTCCCTATTAGTCTTTGAACGCAAAATATATCCAGTAGCAATATATATATATATATATATATATATATATATATATATGAAGAGTTCAGATGCAAAAGCCTCTAAATGCCATTTGAAATTTTCTTCTAGAATGATAATTTTTATCAAACTTGTATATTTAAGTTCAGTAATTTCACTTAAATGGCAATGATAATTACCTATTAATTGTTATTTAAGTAAAATTACTGAACTTAAATATACAAGTTTGATAAAAATCATCATTAAAGAAGAAAATTTCAAATGGCATTTAGAGGCTTTTGCATCTGAACTCTTCACATATATATATATATATATATATATAGATAGATAGATAGATAGATAGATAGATAGATAGATAGATAGATAGATAGATAGATAGATAGATAGATAGATAGATAGATAGATAGATAGATGGATGGATGTTTCTGCTTGGTCTTCATGTCTTATGATCTCGAGATTCAGAACTTAGAACTTTCAGAAGAGGTCTAATAGCGCCCCCTATTGTATGACAGTGAAAACACAGAAAGCCGGCGTGGAAAATTTCCATCAGTGGTGAGGAAAGAGTTACGTTTTATTTATTATTTTGTCCTAAATACATGGTTTATTTGAACATAAGTTCTGATTGGATGAGCCGCATTGAAAATAATTTTAAAATACTGATTAACACAAATGTTAGCATACATGCTACATTAAGAAGTTGCATACAATGTTTAGTGAACATTGGTGTGTCAGGGGTGATCTTGTAAAGTATTTATAAGTGGATGGTTTCAAGACACCTTTGTCTCTCTTTTTTTGTATGGAGGAATTTAAGCCATTAAACATCCTCAAACCCACTTATATTATTAAATAACACACATAAATGCACCATAAATTCAGTACTGTAAAATGTTTTAATAGTATTATTCTTTCAGCATCACTCTTATAAAGTCATTTAACAATGAGATTTCCAAAATAATGCAGTTTTATAGTACAATGGAAATTGCTAATAATTCAGTTCTGAAGTGAAGACTGGGACACAGAGACCTTTGAGAACAGGAGTGCAAAATAGGGAGCTTATTGCTTAAGAAGTGACGATGAACGTTTTAAAAATCAAAGTTGAATATATGATATTATCTTAGATACTTAATTATCTGAGTAAGTCCCAACATTCATTTCAGATAGCAAATCATGGCACTTGAGTTGTTGTTGTTTTTACATGCCATAGTTACATTCTAGTGTATGTAGAATTGTGTATCCAACTCTAAAACTTGCAAACAGCAAGATATAAATACAAGATAGCAAGCTCTGTCTGGATGTTGAGTTGAGTTGAAGGTGGGCACAGAAGGGCCGAATGCATGAGAACTAGCATGCTTGTTATCAGATGTGGCCTCCAAAGTAGTTGATCCTTCAATGATTAATTAAACCCCATGTGGTGTATAACATGAGGGGACTTTACTGCTGTTTCGGCATGGCAAAGTCCCAGGCGGTATCCTGGGCACACTTCCACATGGCGCGCACCAGCCGGGTGAAACCCATATCCTTGGGCTTCTCCAGCCCACGCATCAGCCGCTGTTTCATGATGGCAATAAACTCCTTATTACTCAGCTCCCCATTTCCTAAAAAAAAAGTGCAAATGAAATAGAGTGTGAGAGAGAAATATGATGGGTAATTATCACCGCCAGTGCCACTCAACTCCATATGCTTATCAACCCTCAGCAGAATTCAAAGTAGCGATTCAGCAGGTCCGATGCCGTGCACATACATTTGTACTTTTTAAAATACTCCCATGCTAAAATATGATACTGTAAAAATCATTTACAACATTTGTTGCATAAATACCATTACACAAAGAGAAATCGAGTGGTTGAAATTGGAGTTATTTCATGGTTAAAGACAAACAAAAACAAAACAAATAAATCCAGAATCTGTGTAACGAAATAAAAAGTAAGTGAAAACCAAACACAAAACAAAAGCAAAACACAACAGAACAAATCTAAACAACAAAATAAAAAAATAAAAAATAAAGCAACAAACCAGAACACCTAACAAAACCAGAAAGCAAAACGAAAACACAAAGCAGCAACACAACAAACCAAACCCCAGAATAAACTAAATTAAAACCCAAAACAAACGCAAACCACAAAACGTATAAAAACCAAAACGCAAAACAAAAATTAAGCGAAACCACAAAACAAAAGCAAAACAAAAAACAAATCAAACAAAATCTCAAAACACAACCAATCAAAGCAAAAACAAAAATTAAAATACAAAACCAAACACAAAACAAAATCAAAACACAACAGAACAAATCTAAACAACAAAACAAAAAATAAAACAACAAACCAGAACACCAAACAAAAACAGAAAGCAAAATGAAAAACAAAACAGCAAAAACAAAACGCAACAAACCAAACCCCAGAACTAACAAAATTAAAACCCAAAACAAACGCAAACCACAAAACCTATCAAACCAAAACGCAAAACAAAACCAAACATAAACAAAACAAAAATTAAGCGAAACCACAAAACAAAAGCAAAACAAAAAACAAATCAAACAAAATCTCAAAACACAACCAATCAAAGCAAAAACAAAAATTAAAATACAAAACCAAACACAAAACAAAATCAAAACACAACAGAACAAATCTAAACAACAAAACAAAAAAATAAAACAACAAACCAGAACACCAAACAAAAACAGAAAGCAAAATGAAAACACAAAACAACAGCAAAACACAACAAACCAAACCCCAGAATAAACTAAATTAAACCCAAAACAGACGCCAACCACAAAACGTATAAAAACCAAAACGCAAAACAAAAATTAAGCGAAACCACAAAACAAAAGCAGAACAAAAAACAAATCAAACAAAAATCA